GTATCCGATTCTCATTGCATTCCAGGATGTGCTTATGACAGGAGATGATCTCGAGGTCCGCTCACGGGCACTCACATACCTCTTCGATACGCTAATCCGACACGGTGGCGATTTCCCAAGGGACTTTTGGGATGTCCTCTGGAGACAGCTTCTCTGCCCGATTTTCGTGGTCCTGCAGTCCAAGTCTGAAATGTCTAAAGTTCCAAACCACGAAGACCTTTCCGTTTGGCTTTCCACAACAATGATCCAGGCGCTACGGAACATGATTACCCTGTTCACGCACTATTTTGATGCTTTGGAGTACATGCTGAGCCGATTCCTGGAACTGTTGACATTATGTATTTGTCAAGAAAATGACACGATTGCACGAATTGGCAGCAACTGCCTGCAACAGCTGATTTTGCAGAATGTTGCAAAGTTCAAACAGGGGCACTGGTCCCAGATTGTTGGGGCCTTCGTGGAGCTTTTCAGCAAAACGACAGCTTATGAACTTTTCACGGCTGCTGTATCGACGTCTAAGCCAGCAGAGGCAGTTAACGGGGACCTCACGCAGTCTCCGGATGCTGCTGTAGCAACAGCAGATTTGCCTGATGCGTTGGAGCCCAACGGATCCCAAAGCGCGTCTTCTCTCCATGAAAGTGGAGATCCTCCTGTCCAAAGTGAAGCCCGCGCTGAATTAGAGGACTATCGCCCTCAGTCAGACCAGCAACAACCTGCAGCTGTCACTGCAGCTCGGCGTCGTTACTTCAACCGCATAATCACGAACTGTGTTCTGCAGCTCCTCATGATTGAAACTGTCCACGAACTTTTCTCGAATGAAACTGTCTATGCCCAGATCCCCAGTGTTGAGCTCCTCCGGCTCATGGGGCTGCTGAAAAAGAGTTACCAGTTCGCGAAGAAGTTCAACGAGGATAAAGACTTGCGGATGCAACTCTGGCGCCAGGGATTCATGAAACAACCTCCTAATCTATTGAAGCAGGAGAGCGGCAGTGCCTCCACCTACGTGCATATTCTTTTCCGAATGTATCACGACGAGCGAGAGGAAAGACGGAGCAGTCGCGCAGAGACTGAGGCTGCACTCATTCCGTAAGTTAATTCTCCCTGGTTTTTCCTCTCCCTTCCCGTTCATTGCTAATTCCACTAGACTTTGTGCGGACATTATTCGCAGTTTCGTTCGCCTTGAAGAAGACACCCAGCACCGCAACATCGTCGCTTGGCGTCCGGTGGTGGTCGATGTCATTGATGGATATACCAACTTCCCGCAAGATGACTTTAATAAACATATCGAGACCTTCTACCCGCTCGGAGTTGAGCTTCTGAGCCGTGATCTCAACCCGGAGATTCGCGTTGCCCTCCAGTCTCTACTGCGCCGGATCGGCGAGGTCCGACTGGGCATTGCTCCGCCCAGTCCCCTGGACGTCCCTATCAGCCCGCGCAGCTCCGTCTCCCAAAAGGCCTCGCGCCGCGATAGCCAGGTTTGACTTACTGCATGATTTTTTTTTGGATATCCTCGCCGCGGGCTTGATTTTCGGCGTTTTATAACCCGAGTCTTCGGGGTTTTGTGTTGTCACACGAGCATTTTGTTCTACTTTAGAGATGCATAGCTGCTGTATTGATAAGAAAACATTTCTTGATTTGTTCTTTATTTTACTTATTTTGTACTTCCTCTGAAGTTGGGATCTTACCCGACTCATAAAAGGATAATACGCTGTCCATGTCCTTTTCAGTCATCTGTACAAGCTCATCGAGGCTCCATTTCTCGCAGACACCGGACATCCTATGATCATTAGTTTACACTTTATTACTGAAGAGGAACCGGGGTATTATAACCCACCATTTCATTCTCTTAGGGCCTTGGTCAGGATTCGGCGCAACCTCCCGGAGCTTCTTCCGGAGCTTTCCCACATTCTCAATAGCTGCCCCCATGTTCGCTGGCAGAGTCTCGGCGATCTTTTTCCGCACAATACTGGCCAGCTTGGGCCCGTTTCCATTTGTGCTGACCATGACCTGCAATGGCCCATCGCGGTGAACACTCCCAAAATAGAAATCACATTCAGGCGGGACATCAGCAATGTTGGCAGTAATTCGCCTCTCCTTGCAGAGTCTCCAGACCTGTGTTGAAGCCTCCGGGTCGTCGATGGCACAGAGCACCATGTCCACGTTGTCGAGATCGGATGGCTCAAAGTTTCGATCGACGTGTGAGACTTGGTTTTCTGTCACCCTGAAGGCCACTTCTTCGTTTAGTCCAGCGGCGGGGCAAACCACAGTGACTCGGGCATCGGCATTGAGAGCGTGGAGGATTCGTCCTGCAGCAACCTAGCAAAGATATATAGATCAGTCCCCAGCCTCAAAAAGAACACGAGATATAGCTATTATCAATATCAATCACGTACCTCTCCACCACCTACGACTAGTACATGTTTGTCTTTAATTTGCCAAGCAAGTATTAATGACCCTCCACCTTGTACTTCTGGGAACTTTGACATGGTGGGATGTGAGAGAATGATGCAACTTCCCTCCCGTTTATCGGCCCTCCGATAAAGAAAACCTGTACGGTGGGCCATACAAACCATCCCCGCAGTATTCCCGAGCTTTTCCCTTCCGAACTTTTTTTTTTTTTCTTTTTCTCTCTCTTCCTTTCACGTCACTCATGTTTTTTTCTTAAATCATTAAATCATGCGGGGCGTCCATATATTTTCGGGAAATTCCCACCCCGGCCTTGCAGATACTATATGCGAGCGTTTAGGCACTGTGCCTGCCAAAGCTAACCTAGGAAAATTTGCCAATGGCGAGACCAGTGTCAATATCGGTACCTCAGTGCGGAACCAGGATGTTTACATCATTCAAAGTGGTAGCGAGAAGATTAACGATAGTGTTATGGAGCTCCTGATCATGATCTCAGCATGCAAGGGTGGCTCAGCGAAGTCCATTACAGGTATGTTGACGATGACTCCAGATACAAAAGCTTACCCCACTAACTCGTTTCTCTAGCGGTCATGCCGTATGCTGCCCGTCCTGTTTGACTCAAATCACAAACCATGCTGACTCTCAAATGAGATATTTCCCATACTCCCGCCAATCCAAGAAGAAGAGTCATCGTGGTGCCATCACGGCCCGCATGCTTGCCAATCTCCTCACGATCGCTGGCGTGGACCATGTGATCACCATGGACCTGCACGTATGTTTCTATGCGATGTTGAGTTTTGTAATATGGATATTGATGGGCTCCTAGGCATCCCAGATGCAAGGATTCTTCGGAAAGCCGGTCGACAACCTCTTTGCCGAACCCTTCATTGCCCGCTGGCTCCGGATGAATGTTCCCGGCTGGAAAGACGCTGTGGTGGTTAGCAAGAATGCTGGCGGAACCAAGCGAGTCACCTCGCTGGCTGATACTTTGAAGCTCAACTTCGGTATCGTGACAACGGATCGTCGGCGCCCGAAGGTCTCCGTGGCCACTATGTCCGATAGCACAGTCTTCTTCGATGCTGTGGATGAAGATCCCATCTCAACCAAGGACCCACTGCCTTTCGAGCTTCATATGCATAGGTCTAATAGGACACCTGCTACACCTCCCATTCCGGAAGAGCCGGAGCCAGTCACTCCCCCTCCTGCGCAGTATCTTCTGCGCCCGGAAACCCCACCTGCGGCTCGCCGCCCATCGGAGCTGGAAGCAGCATACGAATACACGGACGTGCGTGTGCGGGATGTGATCACCGGTCGCCTGGTCCAAGGTCAATTGGTTGATGATGACTATCGTATCAACGAAGAGGCACAGTCTGGCGGCGCCACACCAGGAGGTGGCAGCAGCAACCATGACAACACAGAGGCTATTCCTGATTCTATGGTTAACTCCATCATCTCCAACGCCTCATCACAGCCTCCTGATCATGCGCTTGGTGGCTCATTTGATGCAGTGGAGTCTGACGACGAAGCTAGTGTCTGTGGCGGCCATGTCGACGAAAGGACCATCACGCTGGTGGGTGAGGTGCGTGACCGATCTGTCTTCCTTGTCGATGATATGATTGACAAGAGCGGATCGTGGATCGCGGCTGCAGAGACTGTCGTCAAGCGCGGTGGGGCCAGCAAGGTTTACTGTATTGCCACCCACGGATTGTTCGGGGAGAACTCCTTGGATCAGATGGAAGCTTGTCGCTCAATCGATCACATTGTCGTGACCAACACTTTCCCGATCTCACCGTCGATGTTGCGGAGATCCAAAAAGTTGATTGTCATTGACGTATCGAGTCTATTGGCAGAGAGCATCCGGAGGCACCATTATGGCGAGAGGTTTGTTTTCACCGACCCTGATGTCGTGTGACCATCTACTAACGACGAGCAGCGTCTCGGCTCTCTTCCACCTTAACGATTGATGAGGCATATGGCAGTAACGAGGAAAAAAAAGAAAATAATGAAACCAAGCAAAGAGAGACCTAGATACTTTCTCTAGTGCGTCTTTGCTTACTGATGTGCAGGTTCCCTTGCAACCGTTGATGACATGATACCTATTTCCTATCAAATGAACCACCCGTTCAGGAGCTTTCCCCCTTGCTTGTTCCCCGGTTGCCCTCCCCGTTGCCAGTCTACCGTTCTCGGCCTCGTAAAGTGATCCTATCACGACCCCTCAAACCAGCGATGCAGTCCACTCTGGGTTCTGCAGGAGCATCTCGTTTTCCACAAGGTGTTCTTAACGGAGCGTTGGCAGATTAAATCGAATCTTGTTTTCTTACTTCATGGTGTGTTCTCTTCGGAGTCTACAACATGGAGACGTCACCCCTTTCTCAGTTCTTCGGAATGATTGACCTTGCGGTCGTGGAAGTGGTGCAAGAGGCGATCTCGAACATGAAGTAATTTGAATAGCAAACAATTTACACCATCGATCCATTTTTCATCCTGTTTCGATTATGCAAGCAAACTTCCCGGTACTCTGTACTCCGTAGGTAGAGACAGAGAGACAAGTACGGAGTAGACATCTGGCAGTGCCGAGGATTTCCTTTCCAACGATGCCGATTTCCTTGGTCATGTTGAACTTCATTTCCCGTCGCACCGATGCGGTTGACCGTGTGAATGATTCTGGAAGCTGGTTTATGATTCGGTCGTGGTCTGGTGATCGTCGAGCCCAGAGTGTGTCCATGACGGGAGTCGAGGGGATCTACGGAGTACTCCGTACAGGCTTCCAATGTGGGAGTGTCGGTGTGCAGGTTTCCATTGATCGACTGTGAGACAGTTGGAGCTGAGTTCCCACCTTTTCCAATGTTCTAGGTCACTTGGCATGATAAATTGGATTTTCTCGGGTCTCCTAAGTATAGGCATCTCATCTCCCGAACCGATCTCGAACGGCTATGGCTGGCCCGATTTGCAATCGACAGGTGACACAGATGGACCTAGAGATCAACTCAAGCATTCCTTGCAAAACCCTCGGAGGTGTAGTCTTTCTCCGTTGAATCCCTGTCCAGATATCCGTTTGTGTATAGTTTGAATGCCCCTTTTAAGTTGATAGTTGCAGAGAGGACTCGACTCGACCCTGCCTAGGTAGAAACCTACCTACCTAGGTACTGTTGTATTACCCCAATTGGGCTTTCCTCTCGGTGGTTTTTGGTACTCTGTACTCTCACCCTCCTACTCTTGTACTCTTGTACAATGAGAAAAAGAACTAGAACTGCCCCATCCAGTCGCTGGAGAAAGGGCTTGGCTAGACTGTGATAGAATTCCAATGTTCCCAAACAAACATGTGGATTTACGGATGTGACAGAGATCATCCTAAAACGAAAGATTCAACAATTCCATTTTCTTTAGTGTTTTTTTTTTTTGGTTTTCTTTCTTTTTCTTTTCTTTTCTTTTTTTTTTAGGGCTTTGCGGCTATTCAATAAGCAATTGGACCATGCAAGCGCCAAACCGGCACTGCCACTAATGCCGGGGGTATACGAAGTATCCCAACCGAATTTGTCACTTGAGGTGACCAGCTGAGAGGTAAATAGTTGAATTGGTTACAATTGTTCTCAAACTGAAACTGGAATTGAAATAGCTGAAATCTGAAATAGTACAAATGACCAGAGGAGCATTATGTGGATCTCTGGGCTAAGCGCCTGGTGAAGTTGATGTATCAACAGTTGATATTGGGACTTTCAGGGGGGGTTTCTTCCAAAAGGATTAAGGTAAATATATACCTAGGTATATGATGGGATATAGTAGGATATAGTAGGGTATAGTAGGATATTATGCTTCATTCGGTGGATGATATACATGTATCCTAGTATCTAGTTATACTACTATACTACTCCTCCTACTACTCCTACTACTCCTACTACTCCTACTATATAAAATATGTTGTATGCACTCGATCGGAACCGGGTTCCTGGGATGCAAAGGTCCGATCGAAAGAGAGAAGTAGGGGAAAAAGTACTATACTCCACCGTTAACTACATTTGAAACCTCCGAATCTCAGTTTAATCCAGCCTGTCGGGACAGGACGTGTCTCTCGGGTTCTATATTCAGCTCCACTTCATATTATAGTTGGGTTTATAGGATCATACCTATCACTTGGTCTTCTTCACTTTAATATTCCTAATCCACTCTATTAACCCAAAACTAAAATAAATAAAAAAAAGAAAAGAAAAGAAAAAAAGCAATTCAAAACTAAATAATTCATTCGGGTCTCTTCCGGTTTCCCCCCAGCTTTCCCGGAATCGTCCTCTTATGTTGAAACTTCCAATCATGTCTCTCCGATCTCCATGATCTCTATTAAAGACTCTAGTTATTGTCTTGTTAGTCTCTTGTTAGTCTTGTTAGACTAGGATCAACCTAGTCTCTATACAAGATATGATTTCGGTACATCTATCGATTGGGAATTTCTCATATACGTAAACCCTTTTTTTCTCTTATTTCTACTTTTGTTTTTTTTTTTTTTTTTTCCCTTTTCCTTTTTTCTTTTCCTTTTTTCTTTTTCTTTCTTGAGGAATTCAAACAATCCCGGTTACATGCGTCATCGGATGGATGTGTGCATTCAGTTCTTAAGTTGTTGACTGGATCAGTTGTGCCTATAATTTCTTCACCGTTGTCTCTAGAGGAGAAGTATATATAATGATTGATTTGTCCGGGTGTTAGGTCTCTCATCTTCACTTCATCTTCTCAATTGACTTACTTCTATTCTATTAATTTCCCCTAATCCAAGTACTTGGAACCCTTCTCCGCTTCTCCAAGTGATCGACGCCAGTTTCCAGTTTCCAGTCTCTCGGGTTTTTGTGTTTTTGTTTTTTTGTGTTTAATATGTGAGTTCTCTGGGGAGTTGTGTGAACATTAAAAAGGAATCACCCATACTAACTAGAAATTCTCCAGTCAATTTCTGTTGTGATCAACATGGCCAACCAATGCTCCGGTCATGTCTTTGCCATTGTCCAGGCTACCAATGGCAACATCCTGACTTGGCGTTGCTCCGATTGCAACTCAGGACCCTTTGTGGCCATTTGGCGCTGCAAGATCTGTGGTCATTGTCGGTGCAATGCTTGCCATACCAATAAGGGATAAGATAGAATGAAATCACGGTAAGATCCCTTGTGAATTAACTCTTTTCTCCTTGCAAAAGGCTAAAGGCTAACTTCCTTATAGAGACCTCTGCATTTGCTCGCATTTACAGAACTGATCTACTCTGCATGAACCCTGTGCAAGGGTAGTTCCCAACCCCCCTCTGGGGTTTTCCTTTTTTACTTTCTTCGTGGCCTCGTTTGGCGTGTGTTTATGCATTTTGATGTGTTCCAAAAAAGTCCCCAAAAGTTTTTGATGCACTGCATCTCGCATCTGGAGGAGTTATACTTAGATCTTTTTTCTTTTTCTTCTTCTCTTTATTGTTTTTTTTACCTCTGTTTTTTTTACCTCTGTTTTATTCTATCAATTTGTATTTTACAGTTCTTGAATCTAGATTTCCTAAGGGAAAATGTGACATTATTGACTACCTTGACTACCTTGACTTTATATATTATGAATTTCTATATACATACACCCCAACATGAACTAGTATGTACGTACTAGTTAACTAACTATGTGAGATCTTGTGAACCGAATCTGAATGTATATACGTAGGGCTCTGATCTTCCCCCAATCCTACTATAACTAGCTATGTTTTCAAAGTGTCGGTCTCGGTCTCGGGTTCGGTTCAGCTGCGCCTTGGTATACTCAAAGTAGTAAAAGGAATAAAAGTGATAAAAGTACAAAAGTACAAAAGTACAAAAGTACTCCATATTCCCTACTCAAATTACTACCAAAAGTACCTAATATCCACTGCCAAGAAGCAAGCTAATCCATTCCTCTTCTGAGGAATCTTTTTCCGATTGCCCTTCAAATGGATGAGATGTATCTCTTTTGGTGGAAGTGCGGTTCAGCGAATCCGAAGCAAAAGCAAAAAGGTACAGAGTACTACCTTGGTAGTTATGGAGTACTACCTAGTTAGGTATGGAGTACTATGGAGTACTATGGAGTAGGAAGATCCCAAATCATCCCAAATAAGAATAAATAGAAATAAATAGAGTCCAAATACCATTCCCAGGGGGTTGGGACAACTCTATTGCCTTTCTCCACTACTATGGTTGGCAAAAGTACGACATTCAAGGGGGATTTCCTACATTTTTCATTGTAGAAGAGAGACTACAGAGTATTAATGGATATATATAATTTCCATTTATTCTCTAATACCAAAAATAAAAAAAACAGATCGGATTATGTGAAGAGGGAAAATATGCACATCTTCCCTTTCCCCCTTACTAGACTTAGGTGTAGATACTCTGTCGAACAATTAGCAACCTTGTAAATAAAACAAAAATAAGAAAACAATCTCACCTCGGTAATCTGATTCACAGCCAACCCAGGCTCGGCCATTTCAGCGTCGCGAAGGAAATCCAATGGCAGCCAAACAAGGTGACCCTTGATGAGATCCAGCTTCTCACGCACCTCCTTGGCCGGCATAAACGGATCGAACAGATGTCCCTCCTTGTGCGTACCCCGTGGACGGAAATTGTCATAGTCCTCAAAAGTCTTGATATGATCGTCAGGGTCCGCCCGGAACAACATCCGATACGCCTCCGTGTTCCCGCTCGCCTGCGACGTCCACGTATTCCACACCCCATCGCTGAGTGGATCCATCACGAACTCGTTCTCCGGTCCCTCGTCGATCTTGTTAAGAGATTCATCGGGCGGCTGCGCGTTCGGATCACCCGAGGCGTCGTATTCTTGCGCCCGCAGTAGGCCGAGGTGTTCCCGCCACAGTTGTCGCCGGAGCGTTGCGGCCAATCGGGATGCCCGGTATGGCTGTCCATTCATTTGACTGTCGATTAGGTCTTGGTCTTCCATTACGATGGCCAGTTCACTATCGTGCGAACCAAGCTGGGACTGTGGGGGAACATTGAATATCAGCTGATGATACAGACCAGAATATAGAAGTGAATGAATGCGTCACATGGGACGAGGGATACAGGCGCTGGTGTCTACTTACCCGATCGTTGATGTTGGCGCTGCCACAAATGATCGTGCGATCGTCGACAATGCACACCTTGCCGTGCACATACAGCTCCTCCTGGACGAAGTTGGTCTTTTCGGCCTCTGGGTCGCCCTCCCAGTTCTCGTTGGACATCTTACCCCCGTTCAACATACTACAATGCGAGACTGAATCCTTGCTGTGGAAACCATCGTCGGTCTTTCTCTGCTCGACCTTATCTTGGAAATTCTGGAGCTTGCGCAAGGTTTCTTGCTTCGCACTTTGATCGGCTGCATAGTCCTTCTCGTTCTCGTCGCCATCTTTGCCCACTGCTGGGTGCACACTTTCACTCATGATGGTCTCTGCGATACCGCGTTGGATATCCTGGTATGTGACATCGGCTTGCTTCTCGAGCTCCTCGAGAACGGGCGTTTTGTTGATTCGATCATAAGCGCGCAGGGCGAACACGAAGACGTGTTCTGAAATAGCTTGTTAGACATGCAACTGAAACCGGAGAAAAAAAAAAAAAAAAAACCTACCTCTTGGGTCGATACCCTCTTTCTCAATCTGTCCAAAGATCGAGTGCTCGCCGCGACAAATCGACTTGTACTGGTAGTCCATGATCGCTCGAGTACCCAACGCAGCATTGTCGCGCAAATCACCAGCGAATCCAGGAATCGCGGGGATAACAATGATAACCCTGAACTTGCGGCCCTCTTTACCTGCGCGCACGCAAGCCTCGACGATCGCTCGGCCGAT